CATATTACATTGAATAATAATAATAATAATATTTATAAAGCGCACTGCAGTATTGAACAAACATACTTTCATTTATTCCTATTTTTTATTTAGTGGTCCGAACGGGAGGATAGTTTTTATTTTGTTAATCCTATTAGGATTGTTTCCCATAAAGTTCGGAGATTATTTAGGCTAGCTGTAGTAGGCCTAGTAATCATGTCAAACATTATTGTCCTGCACTGTTTGAAAATTCTGGCTACGGCATTGCTCAGCCCTAACCATGGTTGGGATGACAATTTATGATTATGGCACCTCTAGATGGCCAGAATTTTTTTTTTTTTTTTTTATTAATTTTTGAAAGATTTAGAGGAGGGGAGGGTGCGGTCCGGCTGACTTCCCCTCCCCCTTGAATCCCCACTGATTCTTGCGATTTATCTTTTTTCTTGGCGACGTCACGTGCTTTGATAATGTTACATAAAGCTGGGGAAAATTGAGGTGGGTGGGTGTCCTAGCCAGTTCCACCTTTTGGAAAGTCAAAAAAAGGGGGAAAAGAAAGGAAAATTGATTGCCCAAAACGCCTCAGAGGTTATTTGCGGGCTTCTATGGAAAAAAAAAAAACAAAAAACAAAAAAACGCGGGTGCATGCCCCGGACCCCTACGATCGTCCTCTTTTTTGGCGTCCTCCTTTGTTCCCCCTCCCCTTTCGGACATCTCTGGATCCACCCCTGGAAAGACTTTCATACATTTACGGTACGTCAGTGGTAGCGCAAGGATTTGCCTGACAAGGGGTCCGATATCCCTGACTAAAGCATAAGTGGACGGGGCCAGGGGGAAGCCCAGAGCCCCTCAGAGGGATGTCCAGGAAAACAGGTTTCGTTACAAATAGTACATATAGGCTTATATATAGTATTGCCTCACTGATCGGGAAAACCATTGTTATAGTCATCCGATGTTATGATTCAACAAGTGTTTATTTGATTGCTCCAGCAGGGTTCCACTTAACATCATGTTTGTTGCTTTAGTATTTTCAAAGTATATCACGCAACCTATATCTGGTTGCTTTTGTTATGCGGTTGCTGATTGGTTTGCGGGTCTTCCTGATAAAGTTTTACATCACGTGATCAGGAGTATACATATAAAAGTTGTTTATAGTACTCTCAGCCCAGATAGGGCAATATTCTGTTCTTTTTTCTTCTTTTTTTTTTCAGTCATCGTTCTAATTATCCTCTCCTCCATTCTCTTGTAAAATACAGTTTATCTCATCATTAACTATTAGACCTATTATCATATACCGTCAATAACCACTGTCCTCGACCAGGGACTTTTAACTGTTACAGTATCATGATTGAAAACAGCTAAAATAGAAATAATTAAATTACACAATAAAGCAGCTACAATGAAATAAACAGCTTATGTTACCCTTATATTTATTTCTTTGCTGATTTTGATGCAGGGAGAGGTATGATATTCTGTACCGACATAATATTCACCGATTGTCACCATAACAGTGGAAGCATCGGAGGACTAGTAAAGTGAATTTGAATGTAAGGTCATGCCGGTGGGTGTATTGTCTTCTACCAGGATCCCGGTATATCACGAACATTAAACTCAATTACTATAACAGATGAATATGTTATTTTTTTTATATTATTATTATAGAACAATTTTATTTTGTAAAATCTGTATAATATCAAACGGAGTATGTGGCCCACTCACGGCTTTTCATTCTCTACCTGACTACTGTAACATTTTTATTATCATCATAATTGTATTCTTCGTCATAATCATCGTCGTCATCGTTATCGTCGTCATCGTTGTTATTTATATTTCAAAATTTGGGGATTTATGTGTTAGTCTTGTTGAGTATGTTTGAACAAATGTGTTTAGCACCTGCATTAACTCATTTCTATGTATACAATGTATACCTATTTAGAATAGCAGTCGCCTAATACAATACTGTATTAAATAGTAATGATAAGGCCTTGTCAATATCGGTCACTATCTGCTCTATTTGTCGACATTACCTTATCTTAGCGACCCCGCTTTTGAAAAATCAAGGTGCGACGTGTCCTCAAACTGAAAACAAAAATCAGCTGATTTCGATCCTTCGTCCCTTCTGGCTCTTTTCCAACCAAATCATGGATGAGGTAATTTTGTATCACGTGATCAGTTCCCTTGACGGGTCTATTTAACCGTCGGCTGATCCGTCAAGCAAACACTCCATCTGGTCTACCGGGTGTGAACACGCACCAACTAAAACCTTTCTATATATTGCCGTCTGAAAGGACGTTAAAGCCTCGTTGTCAACATGAGGAATACTCTGATATTGTTCGCATGTCTGTTTGCTTTCGCCAAGGCCCGCAATGTACCCGTCACGGGTGCCTGGGAAGAATGGGACCATGATGCACCAATCATTCCGTAAGTATTATATTTTCCATTTCTATAAACTTTCTATTGTCGTCCTCCTGAAAACGAATATTTATTAATGTCTTGCTTATATTTATTCATTAGTAAAAGAAACATTAATGTAAGGATGAGCACACTCCAGGGGCGGTAAAATTTAATGTTTCCCAGACCGGAGGTCTATCCCGACGGGTGGGGGTGGTACCCTCATCTTGGAGCCCTCGTCGGGGAGCATGGACCCCTCGTCGGGGAATTCCTGGCGCACCCAACAAATGTTCGCCTACATCGCTTTCGCGAGATTTTACTCTTTTTTTATCTGATTATCATTTCAAAAGCTTATCACATTTTGAACATTTTCTGGCCTCTGGAACACACGAGTATTCTAATCACTTAGGGTAGGCCTACTTAGCGTGCATAATTATATACCACGCATCTGTGATGAACTATAAACGCTATAGGGCCTAATATTTCATTTGCTTACTAGAATTAACGAACGTTTAAATAGGCTTAATTACCGTTTTTAAAATATAGCATACACACTTAAACTGGCTGGTAATCAATAATTTATTATTTTTTTGTAGTAGGCCTCATAACTCCAAGGAGCATAAGTTTGTTAAGAATTTATATAGGGCCTATACATTATGACAGACGATAAACTTTTTAAAGTACACGGTAAATAGTAAGGAAGTTTTGCCTAAGCTATGTTTGATGTACGATTTGTTTTCTTTTACAGCAAACGTGTCTGCGAAGAAGATTTTTTTGGGTGAGTTAAAACAGTTGTTTTTTTTTCCTCTGTCAACAAATTTAATTTAATTAAAATTGTAGGCGCCACGACTCGCCGCCGCAACGGAACGTTTTTAATAACGATATGTTCTTACTGCCACCGACAATCAGCAGACTAAGCCCCTCTCCCACTAGGTTTTTTCAGCATACGAGTTACAAGAGAATGCCGAGTTGCTAACCCGGCAAACTCGGCAAAAACTCGTAGGACGATTCGGAAAGCTCGGAGAGGACTCTTACCTACTCGTAGCAGCTATGAACTCGTGGCGCTAATTTTGAACATGTTCAAAATTATCGCCACGAGTAGATAACTCGTAGTAAACTCGAAGAACTCGTAGGTAGATCGTAGAGTATTCGGGGTACTCTTACCTAGCTCGTACACTACTCTGGATACTCGTCGGCGGTTTTGTCATCTACGAGTTTGATGCGAGCACCAAAAAACGAGTACGAGTAAGTACGAGCGCACCGAGTTGGCTCGTACCTAACTCGTATATAATTCGGTACAAACTTGTTACGCTCGTAATAATCTCGTAGTTAACTCGGTGCTCTGCTCGGCATAATTCGTACATAACTTGTAACCAACTCTATAAACTCGTACCTCACTCGTAGCTATCACGTAATAAGATCGTATAGGTCCTTTCCAAAGATCACGAGTTTTAACTCGTAGAAATCGTACGACTCTTAGGTGAAATAAACCTAGGTGGGAGAGGGGCTCTCACAGAGAACCGAGTTGGATTCATCGAATTTCCCGATTCGACCACCGATTGATCAGCGTCGCCGAAAGGTGTCGGCAATGCGTGTAGAAATTTTATGGAAACCACAGGCTTTACAATACTCTTATATTATTACTGTGTTTTGTTTTCTGATAGTTTGACCCTATTTTGAGTGTAGTAGACGAAATTAGAGACTAAGCTTGAATAAATATTCTTTTCTTAACCTTAACAGACTGACGATAGTCAAGTGCTGTGAAGGCTGGGCGGATTTGGAAATCGGATGCCATACTCGTAAGTATTACCAGAAAACTTGTTTTTTTTTTTAGTTTCATTCTGGTGTTTATACGGTACGTCATATTTGCGGCGCGTCCATCGTATTTCTAAACGGTCAGCAGACTAGTCGAGATATAATACACGAGTATACTGGAAAACAAAATTAACAAAACGGACATTTCTGGATGTCAATAGCTAACAAGAGTTAATGCGGATTCGCAATTAATCACCACTTGAAAACTTGAAAATACGACGTTAACATTCACACACACTGGAAAATGTCATCGATGATAGTACGCTGTGGATGTGTGATAACTCGGACTTATAGTATAGGAATGGATATTAGTGCGCGAAATAGAAGCTATTAGGCCTGCTTATAGTAGGACTATTATGTTAACTTTCAAAACCTATTATTACAGCTGTCTGCAGTGTTGCATGCGAGAATGGTGGTACCTGCATGGCACCAGATACCTGCCAGTGCCTTCCTGAATTCTCAGGACCCACATGCTCAGATTTTGATAAGGATGAATATTGTTGGACCCAGTGGAACACTCTCGACGTGCCATCTTCTGGACTCGGTGACTTCGAGAACATCATTGAACATCGTGAACAGTAAGTCAGTGTGTCAATAAAATTAAATATTTGATTGCTTACATTATAATTTTAAATTTTACGTAATTATTGATGTGATTTATTATTTGATTAGAATTATTTAATATTTTTATTGGTAGCTTCTTTTGTAAACGCGTGTCATATAGTGGGAATGCCACTCAGCGTACCCTTAGCTCTTGAGCCTGAAATTCAACGCAATGCAATTTCAAAAATAGAAATAAATTATTTATACAAATAATAAAATAAAATAAACATGATTAATGTATTTTTTTTCTAGGACTAAGATCTGTCAAGACAGCAACCCCGTTGCCATTGACTGCCGCACCACTGGTGGTATCTCCTGGATGGAGGTTTCACAGAAGGTCTCGTGTGATCTGGAACGTGGGTTTGAGTGCCTGCACGCTCACCAGAAGAGCGGTACCTGCGAAGACTACGAAGTGCGTTTCCTGTGCTCCTGTGGGCCAAAATGTGAGATTTCATCTTTGTTTTATTTAAGAGTTAAGTGAGAGCAGAGCTCAATAAGTTAAACTGGTTAGATCCTGGTAGACCTCCTGTCTCTGATTCAATCTCATTTGTGAATCTCTGTGCACAATAGTGCGGTTGAAGAAACAAGTACTCAGTGGCGGATTAAAGGGGGTGAGGGCGGCTGTACCGGGTACCTCTAATTTTCTCAAAATTATAAGATACTGAATAAAAAAAATATTAAGTCTGAGAGCACCATTTCCACACATCTAGAGGTGCCATAATCGTAAAATTCTTACCTCAGCTCCAAACCATGGTGGGCTGCCCGAGTTGGTATAGACCCTCCATCTGTCAAAAGTCCCTGCCTGGGCCCCCTCTATTTCATATTCCTGGATCAGCCACTATTACTGTACACTCATGAGAAAAGAGAAGGGATGTGTGTGTGTGTGTGTGTGTGTGTGTGTGTGTGTGTGTGTGTGTGTGTGTGTGTGTGTGTGTGTGTGTGTGTGTGTGTGTGTGTGTGTGTGTATTTACACTGTGCTATATTCTATGCTATATATATGTATATATTATTATTATTATTATTATTATTATTATTATTATTATATTAGTAAATGGAAAAGGCAAACAAGACAAAGAGCAGCCAAAACCTGAAGATGTCCCACCAACTGCTTCACGTAAGCCTTCATTACCATTCATTCAGGTGGCAAAAACCCATGTAAGACTAATTAGCACTCACTAAAAACATGGGCCTGCTCAATCCAACAGAGTCAAGTAGTAACAAGAGTGGAGGGAACCAGTCAAATATACTAATTTTTAAAAGGTGTAGTTGTGTTAGTCTGGTCAGTATAAGAAATTACTAATCACAGCACTTAGACTAGAGGCCTCCACACGCTAATGTATACATTATATCTGTTTACTCTATCAAGAATTTAAAAAAATCACTGTATTAGAAGTAAATTTTCTCTCGGGAAATAATGAAAATTGACTCGTTTAATTGAATTTTAAATTTAATATTTAGAGCATGGAGATGGACTGTTTGTAGCGTGGTAATTTTGTTTCTATAACAGAACTTACGTAGCTTACGCATAAATCCTATAAATCTCTTGTGTTTATTAATGGTTTTCAATTTTTTGTTCTTTAGCACCAACAGTTGAAAACAAAACATGTTCCATTGGAAACACATCAGTCAACGCTGGCATGAATATGGAATTCGGATGCCGCATTTGGTAAGTAGGTCTTTAATAAACGGGCACAGGTTCTATTTGGTCCTACTAAGCACCACTAGAAACCACATACCATACAGATTGCGAAAGGATCGAGTTGCTTAACTAAAAAAAAAAAAAAACTTTTAATTTGATAATTTTCCGAATTCTGGTTAATAAAATAATTATGTAGATGTCAAGTACAAAAAGTTGTAAGTCCGAGTAGGTCCAGAGGGCGTCCTATGCCGTATGTGTTTTGGACGAAGGAAGAGACAGACGGTGACAGTGGTAGCGGTGGGGTAAACATGTGGATATTGTTTATAAATTTGTTCGCATGTTAACATAAGGTTTTGCTGTTATTTACTTGATAGCAACTGCTCCAGTGAGGGAACATGGCTTTGCAGCACAAACTCAACATGCATGATAAACGAAACATGTAAGTTTTTGACTAGTAGGGCTAGCTAGGCTAGGCCTGCTTTGCATTCCCATCCAGCAGCGAGCTGCTGCTGCTGGCCATCTGCTAGTACTAGGAGCCTAGCCCTCCTTCTAGCTAAGATATTCAGTTAGTAGTAGTATCCAACAACCAATCACTGTGTTGGCATGAAGGAGATGGATCAGGTGTACAGTGCCAGAGTAGTGGGTTTTGCTAACAATTTCTGGCAGAGCAGTGCAGCAGTCCAGTAGGCTACTACTATTAACTGATTGGTAGGGGGTTCACTGGGGCTACTACATTACTTCCTGGTGGTGCCTACAGAAACCACTTTATTCTGCAAGGTTTTCCTTTTTAGAATATTTTCCAAAAACAATATCAAGTCATAGCTAAATTGCCGTGCACAATAATATGCCGGGCCTGGGAGCTTAATTGAGGTTGAGCTGTCACCGCACTGGCTGCTGGTGCCACTCCTAGATCATTCATTTGTCATAAAATGTTTTCCTGGGCAATTAGTCCTGACAAATTTTGGCTGCAATAGTTATGTTTCAAAATTGAGAAATGTTTTTAATGTGAAATAAATGCCTATGAACTTTTATATTCTGCCTTTTTGTTGTAGACACTCCTGGAGTTTGCACAGTAAACACAACTACAATCCTCCTTGAATCGGACATCACAACCGTCGACTGCAATATATGGTAAGTCAAAAGGTCAAACATGCGAAGTTCACAGAAGAAAATGCATTTGGAAGTAAAGCACTGTCTCAAAACATATGTTTGACATTTTCTGATAAATTAAAGATTTGTCTGACTTTCAAATGATGGAAAAAACATATAATTCTTTATTCTGTGCCTGATGCTGTCTCATCAGTGACTCTCTTTATGTGTCTTCTTCATTCTCTTTACACATTTCTAACAAACAGCAAATGATGCTTACATTTTAATATTTCTGGTTTTATCTGGTTTTATAAAGTATGTGCACAAAAAACAGCTCTCTGGCATGCACCAAGATGATCTGTCCAGCAAAGAGTGACGTAGCCTTGACCTTGACCTCAACACGCTGCTATGATAATGATGGCCAGTTCTATGAAGAGAACACGATGCGACAGAGGGACTGTAACGTTTGGTAAGTTTACCAGGGAGTGTTAGATCCATGATTCAATCAATCAATCAATCAATCAACATGGATTTGTTAAGCACCAATATTAGTGGCACTATGACAATAGTATTACTCAAAGTACACATTAACTACTGAGGTTAAGTAACATTGTTATATACAGGTCTCCCTCTAATTAATTAGAGGAAGACCTATATGTATATATGGAAACAAGGTGTGTAAGTGACAGACAGGCAGTACTGGAAATTGCCTTTACATGTAGTAGGGAAATCTATTTTGGAATACTGTACTATTATTATCAACTGGTATATTATTTTATTTTTGTAGTATATGCACACAAGGCAAGTGGGATTGTACACGTATTGATTGTCTAAAAGATCACTTTGAGGTGCAGATTGTACGCAAGGTCTGTACTGATGTCAGAGGCAAAGCTTACCGTCATGGCGCCACCCTTGTCAAGGACTGCAACGCATGGTAAGTTTACCGTCACATCCTTAAAGTACATCCTATAGTGGCTTACCCCAAAATGTAATACTCATATGGCTACCTTCCGATCAAAGATGCACCCAGTGACCATCGGCAGGCTCGCAACGCCCTCAAGTATCTGAAACCAGACACACACTGTGTCAGCTGACAAAAGAATTACATAATTCCATAGAAGCCATAATGCAAAAAGGCGTGCACAGATCATTTTTAGTGACCGTCCAGTCAACTGGCACCAACAATCAGCAGTTGTAGTTGTGTCCTGAAGCACATCACACAAATAGATGTATCAGCCAACGTTTGGCTGGCTGTTAATTAATGTCCAGGATTTTGATCAGCCATATAACCACTCTACCCTCTCATTCTCTTTTCATATTTTAATTTAAATTTTAAAATATAAATCATTGCACTGAGTATCATGACCTATATAATTCATGTTCCTTACAGGATATGTTCTGATGGTGAATGGGCAAGTACTCGCCGCTACTGTTCACCAGTCACCTACCCCAACAGCACCTGTTTGGACACCAACACCAGCAGCATCTTGACCAATGGACAAACCATTCGACGTGGATGCAATGTCTGGTACGGAATAATTCTGAATTTTTTACCTCCTAAATCTAAAGAAACCATAAGGAAAATCATATCTTCTTATTTCGACTGAATAGTTAATTTGTTTGTTTTTGTTTAGTGTTTGCAACAGTGGAAACTTGACTTGCACTTCAGAACAATGCCCAACAGAGGTTTCTGGTGAGTTGAACACACCCAGTTGCTATTGTACAGTGTTTACTGATTACTCTTTATAAATGTAGTGTATCTTCCAATTCGAGACCCCACAAATTCCAAGACCCCCATCTAATTCGAGTCCACTTTTTTAATGAACCAAGTATCAATCTTCATTCTTTTAACACAAAGCTAACCCTCTTATCAGAGGCCGAATCCTGAGACCACCCCAAATTTTCAGTTCCCAAAGGTGGTCTTGTATTGGAGGGTAACCTAATTAGTTATCGTTATTAATTAATTAATTATCATTATTCAAATTAATCCTTAAAATTATTTAATCGTCATTAATTAATTAATTATCATTATTCAAATTAATCCTTAAAATTATTTAAAGGGAGTGAATCACTCTTCATGTAGTCTTTGTAAATGTAGTTTAGTTTATAGAACTCTGATAATGTATGCATGATAAAGAAGTCAAAAAGATCTATATATTTTGTGTGTAAATTTGTACATCTAAATCAGCCTGTTTGTTATTAGTTAGTCAACCTATTACAACCTAAAATTTTCTCCACCTTCAACCCCATTTTTCGTTGATCTGAATCCATGTTAGTATATACATAACAATATTTTTTTTCCTTCCTCAGGCATCTGTCTCACTCATCTCTACCGTTATCTTTTCAACAACAAGACTGATGTGAAGCTATACAAACCAGTATGTAACTCCACAAATGGCCTTTACCAACCAGTGCAGGTTAGTTCCATCGATTGATAGTAAATATGTTTCATTCTTTCATACCAGTGATTTTTCTCATTGAGAAAGTAGGCTGGGCACCCACCTAACAGTCGTCGGCCGATGTGATTCTATGGAGAATGCAATGCCACAACATGTGCGCAATGAATCGTTTTTAAAGCCAGACTCCATAGAAAATATTTTTTAAAATGTGATATGTTTTAAAACACAAAAAGCATATTTGACGAAAAATTCAGAAGCGGTTAATGAAATAGAGATTCTTGAATATTTAAAATCTGGTTGGGGGGAGGGGGAAAGGTGGGAAAAAAAAAGGTGAGTACAGCCCTTTTTCCCCCAAGTGTTTTAAATATTCAGAAATCTGTAAAAATATGCCTTTTGTGTCGTGGAAAAAAATCAGTTCTACAACCTATCAACAAAAAAGTTTTCTCTGGAGACTGGCTTTAATGACGACTCATTCAGACCGCTACTAACAATTAGCAGACGACGTCCCGTTGCATAGCACTAAGCTACTAACAATTAGCAGACGACGTCCCGTTGCATAGCGCTAAGCTACTAACAATTAGCAGACGACGTCCTGTTGCAAAGCGCTAAGATGTAGCAGAGTTGGATTTGTCGCACGACACAGCGAGTGCCTTAACACTTTCACTGCCGTGTTTGAAAAGTAGTATCGGCCACTGCCAGCCTTTTTACCGAATTTGACCATATTTCCAAAGCTTGCTAAGAGTACGTAAGTGATCAAATTGACATGTATTATACACTAAAAGAATGACAAACATCTCACCTTTACACTGGTACCAAACACTTTATTCAAATCACAATTTATAACCCCGTAACAGTAAAATGAAAGTGACTCACTTTTAGGGTTTTATGCATATTCACACAATGAAGCTGAGTTAATCGTGTTTCAGTATCGCCGTGCAATATGAGGTGACTGAGAATAGGTCACATTGAAATAGCGAAACATATGTGGTCCTGACTGATTTAAACACTTTAGAGATTTTCTAGAAATTCAGACATACCCACTCTATCATGTAAAAGAAGAAAATTAAAGAAACGGAGATCTCTGTCTTTGGCTGTAAACAGTTGGGATTTAAAATATGTAGATCGCTGTCTTTGGCAGTCAGAGTGTTAATGATGTCTAAGCAAAGTCTACAATTCTCATTCCATTTCTCTTTTTTTAAATTTAGTATTCCTTTGCTGATAGCATTTTGTGTTTTTTTTAAATTGTTTTTCAAAATATTTCTATTTTATACAGTGCAGGGGAAAGAAATGCTTCTGTGTAGATCCGTTTGGTCGCTACATTCCCAGAACATACGTCTACGGAAAGACTCCTAACTGTTCAGCTTATATATGTAAGTATGTTTCGAGTTTGTGAGTACAGACAATTCACAAGACACATTAAAATGTTTTTCTGATTTGTTTCTGTTATTCCCACTACAGGTTTCCCTCCAATTAAAGGCCACTTTTGGGACCAGGGTTTCTGTGGTCTTTGGCCTCTCATTAGAATAATAAAGATAAAAGAAATTTATTTGTTAATTTGGGACCACAGAATAGTGGTCTTTAATTGGAGGTGGTCCTTAATTGAAGGGGTCTTTCATTGGAAAGAGACCTGTATGTCCAAAGCCCCAAGTCTGTGAAATGTCTCAAAAATTAGGACAGCTTCCTGCACTCCTGCGAGCAAGAAAAAAAACTCCCGGAAATTTACCGACCTTCTGCATTTTCATGATTTTTGCACGTTTTTACTGCTCTATTATCAGTTGTTGTCTCCAGGACCTCTGCTTATGGTGAGTATTACCACACGCAGCTAAATAGAATCAGATGTTCTAAGAAATCCCTTTTAATCAAATCTTCTGGAAGTGGCTTCTTCCAACTTTGGACTTCTGCTCAGGGGTGGCAGTAGCAGGAGGTTCTGAGGGCCTAAGGATCCCGATTCGGCTAAGATGATTCGGTCTCGACGTTCAGGTGTGGACCCCGGCAAGCTTGGGCCCCTCATGGTGGAATTCCTGCTGCCACCCGGCTTCTGCTTTGTCTATTTGCATGATTGTAAGCATTAGTGAGTCTAAAAATAGGATTATTGTATCATTTCAGACAACATCACCGAACCACCAATGACAACCGAGATTGAGCTAATGTCAGAAGAACCAACTTTATACAATAAAACAAGTAAGAAAGAAATAAAAATATAAAAAACAAGGTGTAGGCATTTCAGAATTTCCAACATAATTGCAAATTATTTTACAGTAATTATTTTTAAGTTTGACCATTCTTGACAGAACATATGATTGTTCTTGGATTTTTGAGTTTATTTTTTGTTGAACTAATATGCAGTGTCTAAATATTTGACCACTCTGGTAAAATAGTGAATAAATATTTGATGATAATGATTTTAGAAGACGCCACTTCATTTTGTGTTGTTTTTCACTGTCTTTGTACCATTCAGCCAACTATACCTGTAGCCAGATGTTACTGAAGTCTGTGGTGAAGCCAATGATACCACGACCTACGTGTCTGCCTGATGGATCGTACGCTCCGACCCAGTGCGACCGCAGGCTGGAGGTGTGCTATTGCGTGTTCAGCAATGGGACGTACATCAACGGTACACTAATGCACATCAGCAGGGGAACTCCATTCTGCAGGAGATTGAGACCAGGTAAATAAATATGTTACAAAAACTTGAGCAAGTCGTATGGCCGAGCGGTTAAGGCACGGGCACCGTCACCATAGCCAACAATACTGGCACGGTTCTTGCCCGTAGTTCTGGTGGTGTAGCAAATCTTCTCAGATATGGACTATAAACTGTAGGCCCAGAGTAGACAAATGCTCATGTGTACTGTAAAAAACCCAGTACATCTTTCAAGACGAGTAGGGGGTTACCCGGTGTTCTAGTCCACTCGGCCCCTCTCGTGGGCAGATTAAAGTGCGCCTGATTACTGGGTGCATCAGTTTATGTTTCAGTTCAAGTGATTGATTTTTTTTATTGATTAAGTTCACTGAATAGCTGGCATATTCCTGTTTCATAGAATGATTGACTAATACTAAACAATTAACTGATTGATTCAATAATTACTTTAATAATTGATTAAGTGATTGAATGACTTATTGTTGTACTTATTAACTGACTGACTATTGATTTATTAATTATTATTTTGCTGATTTATTATATTATACTTTATTAGTGACTGATTGATAGATTTATTGATAAATTAATTGATTGACTTTGAACCACATCCTTCCATTATGTACCTTGCAAGTCACTGTAATTACTGTGAAGATATTTCTTTTTTTTTTCATTTACATTACTAATATATTTACATCACATATTTCTGTTCTATTACAGAAGTTGAGGTCTCCTATCCAGGTTAGTTAGTTAGTTATGTTTATTTGCTCCAATTTCACACATGCATCAAATCAATCTTTACTATTATCAGTTATCTTGGCGGGGTCAAGAAAGAAGCTTTGATGTCACTGCCCTGTTCCTACCAATCCTTTAACGACACGAAAATCATATCATTGAGTTTTTTTTAGAACTAAACCAACATACTGGAGCTCAACAAAGTATGAAATTGTGTATGGACTGTATAAGAAGATGATTATCAATTGGCACATTGATAAGAGAAAAGTTTGCACTTATTCTTGTGCCCCTTCTCTATTTTCAACTCCAAGATCAACCAAATTATATTATGTTAAACCCACATTTACAGTCTTAGATATGTAGTTTTAGAAATTGTAAACACTTGTGATACTCCTCAGAATTATCCACATGCAACCTCAAAGCTGCCATCGCTGAGAAGCTCAACCTGCCGTACAAACCAACATGTAACGTCAATGGAAGCTTTGAAGCTCTCCAGTGCAACCTCATCACACGTGTTTGCTTCTGTGTTGATGACTTTGGTGACATCATCCCCGACACCATCACCAACCGTGCTGACGTTCAAAGATCATCATGTGATAGGTTCCGAACAGGTAAGCCTGAACAAATTTTGTGAAGTCCCTCAACAAAATGAGTAACAAGGCAAGGAATGGTATATTGCCATAGACCGCATTACTTACTTACTTACTTAGGTGTTCCGCCGTCTGACATCACGCATGTCTTGGAGTCAATCTTCAGGACATTATAACTAATTAGCTTTAGTTTGCTCTTTGAATGACATTCCTAGAATAAGTTGATCCAGAGATAATCCAGATGTTAATATTTCAGAGGAATGGAGGCGGCAGATGAATTCAAGACGTCGCCCGATAGCCCGCATTGTCACCGATATCGTCGATGTTGACCAATTCCCAGAGAGTAAGTTACACCATCATTTGTCAAATTTCATATGTTTTTTTCCCAAGTTTTGTCAAGCCTGGCTTCCATAGAATCGCTACACAGTTGCTGCAGCGTTTTCCCTATAAACCCTGCGCCGGGTACCTGTCCCCGACGCAATCAAAAACGCTCCCTGATTCAACTGACGAATCAGCGCCAAAGTCGGCAATAGCGTGTAGCGATTTTATGGAAACCAGGCTTCATGAGAACTTGGTAAATATTGGGTGCAATGAACGGGGTCTGGAATATGTGTGTGTCCAACAAACACACGTGTTGTTGCAAAATCGCATGTGTTTAGGTACATTGACGTTGTTGTTTTGTGGGGCCTTGGCAACAATATCTTAGGGGAGGGCTTAGCGAAAAAGTCTGTTGCGGCAGTAATTGTGATGCAGGCTTTTAACCTTGAACATAATAGAAACATAATCATGATTCTATTCTAATCGCCAATTCACTATGTAATTTTATCATTTTCTTAAACATATCAACAAAGTAAGGGTGGGGGGGTGGAAGGGGCAAAGCCATGGAGGAACAAAGTTACTGTCCAGTGTACGTCAGCCCCAAGCATCAAACAATACAAATGACAATAGCATTCAATGTAACATTAAAAGCTTGCACCACATTAGCTATGTTTTGTACATATTTTCTTTAATTGGCATATGTGTTGTAATCTTGTCTTTTTTATCTTTCTACTCATGTTAATTTTGCAGATGAAACGATGCAGAAGGAAATTCATCTCCCATCATACATCACCTCAGATATCATCTATAACGAGAAGTTCCCAGAGAGTAAGTTAAAGCGCCCTTGTTCGTATGAAACCTCCATATTAATCAAGTAGAAGAAAAATGATTGATTATTATCAAGGTAGAAACATTCCTAACATTAAATAGAATTCTTAGTTGCAAATATTATTTGTTAGATGGCATCTAATGTATGAATGCCAGAATATTATCATTATTATTCATTACTAATATTGTTGTTATTAATTATTATTAGTATAATCTCTGATATATATTTTTGAGGAGGACATATCCATACTGAGCTTAGAAGGTTTTGCCTCACTGCTAGCTACCTTCTGTTTTTCAAAAACCTGCACCTGCTTATCCTTTAGAGATATGGAGTTTTCAAAACTCATGCATTGTATTAAATCCATTTGAAGTTCTTCTGTAGTTTGGAAATTTATTTTATGAATATTTATGGATTAATATTTCCTAATCATCCAGGTATGCCAGCATGCCTGAGACAGCGCGAGATTTCCCGCACCATGTTGACTATCTACGAGCCAACGTGTAGAGTCAACGGTACATTCGAGCCACGCCAGTGCCCCACTGGATCCGGCATCTGCTTCTGCGTCGATGTCACAGGAACAGTTGTCGTCAACACGACTTCGAGTAGACTGGTCCCACCAACCTGCGATATGTACAATAATGGTGAGATTTTGTTAGGCTTATCCTTAAGCTGTGTTTACACTGACATTTGTTACATGACGATATTTGTGTTGAGATATGACCTCGAGGGTATAAACAATAATGTTAAAGCAAAATGCACATAATGTTAAACAAAGACTGCCATCTAAAAGTAGGCCTATACTCCTTTTTTAAGCTCTATTCACACTGTGAAGTTTCATGTTACATATACATGTGATTTGCCCATATATGGGTGTAATATGACATCATCATGCCCATACATGGACAAATCACAGAAATCGGGCATGTAGTGTGTAGTATGGACAGAGCAATATAATTTATTATACAATTCCTACTAGAGAGTGAGGCAGCAGAGGCACATCTGTATTTTCACAACCAACAAGAGCGCCACCATGTAACGATTGACAGGAGCAATGTTATTGCACAACATTAGGTAGTTTTCGCCGCACAACGTTAACCTTAACTTTAACGTTAGTACCCAGCATGCAATGCAATAGCTCCGCCCCTTTTGTAAACAAATCGAAATACGCATGAGCAAACCCGTAACTAACATACGTCGAGCACTTAAAATCCTGAAATTAACATACTCCGCAACGCAAGATGAATAAATTATGACATCATCCGTTAACGTTAAGTTTAACGTCGTGCAGCAAAAACTAGCTATTATTGTTCGCTGCACACTGTATGTGGTCATAAAGCAGCAAGTGTCAAAGGTATTTCTACTACAAGAGGCCATTTTAAACTTGTTAAATATTCTCTTGTTCTTCATTTGGTATTTTGTCTTCCTCGTTTTCAGTGTCACTGTTTAGCCTGAATGTGACCACCAACAGCACACTCTACGGAATACTGCCCACTGACTGCGGGGACAACTGTCCAGTCATTGGAGTTCAAGTCAACACTACCCTCAACCAGACACTCCCACTCAACAACACCAACATCAGTATGTATATTTTCTTTGAAGTATAATCCTTGAAATGCTGAGAAATTTCACAATTTTACATATACGGCATGTGGCGATGAATCTGTGAGAGTAGATAGCTCGGTCTGCTAAACACGTGGTAGCCGCTGTGAGTGCATTGAACCATGGAGATCTCTTGGTCCCCGGTTGAATTCCCTTTTGTTTCAGCTGAAGGGCTGAAATGCAAGTTTCAAAAGCGCACCATCTTTTGGATTTTGATGTTTAAGCCGTTGGTCCTGTGTGCAAAATGGCCATGTGTACGTTAAAGAACACAATACACTCTTCAGAAAAGAGTAGTTATTGTCTCCGGGTGTACTGCCCTATCACCACCAGAAGGACCCCAATGGAAATAGGTCTTTTTCAGACTTTCGTGGGTTATCCTTGGTGTTTACACCGAATAAATCCATCCACCAATCCATCCATGAATCAAAAAGAAAAAAAGGAAAAGAAACTTGCATAATTATAAAGAAAAAAATATTAATTTGTTTCTTTTATTTCTAGCTGTTTCAGCTTGTGCTCATCAACAGATTATCTCCAGCATTGTTCCAGGTGTGTTCCGACCCACTTGCAATGCCAATGGAACCTTCTCCCCTCTCCAGTGCCAGCCCCAGTCCGGTATCTGCTACTGCGTTGACACCAATGGCGTTCGCATCAAGAATACCGAAGCCAAGATCTACAAGCAGCGTCTACCAATCTGCGAAAAGTATTGGAATTGTAAGAAAAGTGTTTACTCATTTTGTGAATAATTACAGGCCTATTGTAATAAGAATCATCATGGTATACAAGATGCAAAATTGTTTTGCTGTCAGTGTAGAGCTTTTCTGTCTACTGTAGGGACAATACAGCGAAGTCGTATGTAAGAAAATTACGTATACATGACGGACATTGCGTGTAAGGTTATGCACAGTGTGTTCTAAATATAGCGAGCGCACTACAATATACATAATTACTAAAACATTTTTCAAGACCAAGACATAATAGTAATTATAGAAACAATAACTAAATAATAATAATAACAATCACTTAATAGGAAAAGTGGATTTATATGCATCATAATTCTATATATGTTTTTAATGTATCCTTTAAAATAATGATGACAAGAAAGTTGATAATATTTTAATGGGATTGAATGTAATTTATTTAGAGTCCTTGTCCACTTTTTTAAATGCTCAAGGCACTAGTAATGATGTCTCTTCTTTGTTTTCAGACCAAACTATATGAATATACTTTACTATATGTAATTATTTTTTTCAGTTACTTTGGATGTTGTCACCAACATAACCTCTGCCTACCCATTGGATATGCAGATGATAAACACTGTTAACCCCTTCAACTTAACCACCTTGATGGATCTCTCCAAGTTCAAGTTCAACTTCACCAGCCTCTTCAACCAGACTACTCTCGCCAAGCTGAACAACTCCGAATGGAACATGACACTACACTCCCTCATGTTCAACGCTTCCCAGTGGAACACAAGCTTGTACAACGAAACCGTCCTTTCCACGATGATGAACATCTCCATTTGGAATACGACCGTATTTGAAGGCATGTTCAACTCATCCATCTGGAATGAAACCGATTTCACAGGTCTTTTCAACGTCTCGCAGTGGAACACCACCCTGTACACCGTTATGTTCAACAGCTCCCTCTGGAATACCACATTCTTCGACACATTGTTCAACGTTACACAGTGGAACACTACATATACAGCATGGTTATTCAACATGTCGCTACCAAATGTCACCGAGTGCAACTGCACAAAACTTAATTACACTAAAAAATCAAAAGGTACAGTATTTTATTCATCATCAGCATTTAATGTGTCATTATCAAAAATCATTGAAATTTAACTCAGACCATAATTGATACTCTCAAAAATGTTTTTAACTTTAATGTCTAACAAAGTTTAATTTTGTGACTTTGTAAATCAGTTTGAATGGTTTGAATTTTATTGCCAATTGTAGTACTGTTTTGATGATAATTGATTTTTTTTTTTGAAAATTTGTTTTTCATAAGATTGCTTTGAGATGCAGAAACTGGCCAGCTTTATCCCAGATATGGTGCCGCCCACGTGCAATCCCAACAACACCTATGCAGCCCTGCAGTGTAGCAGCAAGACCGGCTACTGCTACTGCTCATACCTTAATGGACGTGTCATCCCAGAGACCGTCACACCCATCATTGAAGGAACTCCTTCCTGCTGGCAGTATTCAACAGGTGAGATTGGGTTGTCGATTGATGTGGGTGGAAATTGATAGTTATTGTTGCCACAAAAACCTTCAACATTGCAGACATGACCGTAAGGGCAGGCCCTAGAATGGATCCATTCTGGTCTAGCCTAGGTAGGATGACAATGGTGATACACATATTCCTTGAATACCTTGGGTGGTAGATTTGGCGTTACCCAGAACCGCAATGAGGATGCTTCTACCATGATGTTGATGTTGATAATAATTATGAAACTATTGATGAGCATTTTGAAAGAAATACAACAGAGGTTTTAAGACTCTCAAGAGTTGCAGGAGTTTCCTAGATATAAAAACAACCTATCTCTTGAAATTCCAAAATGTATACATGTTTTTACTACTTTCTCATTAATTTTCTCTGCTTGTCTGCTTGCCACACAGCAAAGTTCAATAAACTAGGTTTAAGAAAGCACATTAAATCAGATCTCCTTGAAGTGACTCTCGCCAACATCAAAACTCATTATGATTCTTAAGGAGTGGAGTTGTTAATTTTAGATTTTTAATCCAGGACCACGAATGTGTGACAGGCATATTAATCACAGTTCCATTGGAGAATAAAAGTAGATAAATAAACAAATGTTTAAATTTTGAATATTTTCAGTTAATATTACCAATATGACCATGACAGAGAAGAAGATTGCCAACTTGACAAAAGAGAACTGGAAGCTGGCCAATAGAGGAGTCGTGTGGAACATGACCCTCAACTACTTGCACCAGATTGACACATCCGTCAAGTCAAGTAAGACTTTCTGCTCATTCAGAATTTATATAATTATCGTTATATAAAACTCTTTTGATGAATAATTATATAATGTATATCTTTCTCTATTTTGTGAATAATTACCTGAATGAACCGATATATGCCGCCTTTTCATTGGCAAGGTCGATGGTAATCTAAAGGCAAATTGAGGGCTGTTACATAAAATTGTAGTTCCATTATTTTTTAGGTAAGTTCCTAAAAAGGAAACCAGCATATATCGTTTCATTTGGGTGAGTATCTGATGCATAGACTACCAACATCACTTCTGATTTGTGTAATTTTTGCATATCATCATAAACATAACTGATAGTATTTTGCATAAGGTTAAAGACCAGTAATAAATAAATGAGAAGATATGATATAATGTATATATGTAAATTACATGCATAATGTATATTCTTTGTTCTTGATATTTAGTACTAAACCAGACTTGCTTCATTGGCAATATGTCAATTGCATCTGGATCCAACCTGACGTTCGGATGCCGTGTATGGTAAGACTTCTCCGCAATCATTTTCCGCACATTTTTATATTTAAGTCGGTGTTGTACATCTGTTGTACAGTATTCTATTAAAATAGCATGACCAAGGAAAACATTTGGTATTCTAAATTAAATGGTTCTTTTTTTTTGCATTATAGCAATTGTTCTAGTGGAGTCTGGACTTGCACATTCAATGAAACTTGCTTGCGCAATGAAACATGTAAGAATTTTTATGTAATTTTTATTTTACATTAAAGCAAATGTTAGGTTCTATTACCAGATATATGTTTAGAAAACCTTGTCTATTTCATGAATGCTTACCTGGGTAAACAATCTATTGCTGATGTTTCTTAATGAACATGAACACCCCACAAAGAAAATAGAACCGCTTGTCCCTATGTGTGTACTTAGTTAAATTTTATTTAACATAATTTTGCAAGTTTTGTTAAAAGATTTTATTTCACAAAAACATGTGACATGCCTAAATATGGTCATGATGACATCACATCATGACTATATATGGGCATACAACAGTTTTTTTATATTGTGGGCAGACCTTCCGGAACATTGGCAATACTACCAACATCACCTGAATTTTGTCATTTCTCTTATTTTTCAGTCACACCAGGTGTTTGCCAGGTGAACAGGACCACTATTCTGCTTGAGAAAGGCATCACCACTGTTGACTGTAACGTCTGGTAGGTCACAATTACTGCCTTGTACTTTTTCTTTATAATATGAGCTGTGAAATGTATGAGTAATAGCTATGCAAATTAAGCGGTAAACTGTAAATACAGTTAAACTTCCCTAAGTTGACTGTGCCTAAGTCGAATAATTTCTAAGTCGATCATATTATACATGCTAAATTGTTGTGTTTTCCATTAATCAACAATCTGAAAGTCAAATTTGATTTAAGTTGAACAATATTTCAATGGCATTTTGGATTTGACGTAGGCAAATTCAACTGTATATTCAATGAACCATGCCCCGGTGTACTGGTCCATCTCACAGCCCCTTTCACTGTGGACTGATCCAGATGCAGGCGTTGATTAGAACTAGAACTATGCAATTATCCATGAGAAATATAAGCAGTACTTTTTACCAGAAAACAGTGTCAAAGAATCCAATCAAATATTCAGTGAACAATGACATATGGGATGAAATTGTAAATGTTTTTTTTTTCAGAGATATTTGCCGTTAAAATAATAATGTATTGTATTATTATTATTAAAAATATTCTGAATATCTAAAAGATGTTTTTTTTTTTAAAATTAGTATCTGTGCTCGCAACAACTCCCTGGCTTGTACCAAGATGATGTGTCCAGCTAAGAACAACACTGAAAAATCTCTCCCAAAGCTTTGCTTTGACCGCATTTCTAAAAAGTTCTATGAGGAGAATGTTGTCCTTCGAAAACGTTGCAATGTTTGGTAAGGAATGCTCAAATTTATACTTTTTATACTTTTTTTTTGTATGTCTTGGTATATCAGGCCTAATGTTACCATCAATATTGATGAGAGGCGGCCACAATATTTATGTGGTGTACAAGCCATGAAATACTCGAACCTATGATACTTATTATTTAATGTTCTGCAATAGATATTGCATCTTGGAATGTAGTGACATTTTCACAATAGAGAACAAATTAGAAACCTCTACAGGAACATTGCAAAGGTTGGGTTTAACGTTTGCCATTCTCTAAATGTATTTTCTTTATTCACAGTGTGTGCAGCCAAGGAAACTGGGACTGTACCAATGAGCATTGTCCCTTTTTGAGATCAGACAGGGTTTGCGTTGATATGTATGGTCAGAACTACCCTAATGGTGCTACCATCCTTAAGGACTGCAATGCATGGTAGGTCTATTTTTTATTTATTTATTTGGAATAAAATACTCAAAATGCAAAAAAGGTTTGAAACACATTTGAGTGTACAATATGAACAAATACCATTTATTCGCTCATGTGAATCCATAACCACAGGAGCTACACAGGTGTTGATGTAGCTTCCTTTAGCAAATAATCGCGTATAATCGATTCTAGTTGCTGTTATCAGTTGACTGAAACAGTCGTAGCAGGGTCACCACGAGCAAGCTAACAGCATGACCCCAACAAATATAAATATATATTAAAAAATAAAACATCAAACACCACACGTTAATAAACACCTAACTTTAGGCCTATCCTGTGATCATACAAGTAATTTGGATTCTAACGTTTATATCTATATACACTAATTAACTATTAAAAGAAATTACATTATTATAAATATGTATATATTTAAAATTAAATTATTGCTTATAATTAATTGTTTAAATATATATGTACAATCAGATATTGAAAAAAAAATCATTCATTCTTGTTCTATATTATATACAATTCATTATAATTAAAAATATACTATTATACTTAACATATTATTATACTTAACAATTACTTGGTGGTTCAACTTAAAATGTTAGCTGCTCTAGTCGTTCATCATTTGAATTGACTGGCAGTGTTGAGTTGGACAAATGGTTGGTTCTGCACCGAAGGACCCAGTTTGTTTTCATTTTGATTACAATTACTGTTTGTGAATGTATTCATGGATATAAACAAATTATATGTGCAATACCATCTTGTATAAGATATCAAAATTGTAATTAATTTATATAATTCTCCAGGACTTGTATTAGTGGAAAGTGGGCAAGTACTCGCCGCTACTGTTCCCCAGTCACCTACCCCAACAGCACCTGTCTGGACACGGTCACTGGCACCACCTTGGCCAATGGACAAACAATCCGACGTGGCTGCAATGTCTGGTAAGTGAAAATACCCTTCAATTTCTGATTGCTGATTTGTCGGTTCAGTCTGCTGTCGTGAACCTTAGTGCAGGAGATGATAGTTTTAACTCTGGTTGAGTTTTTTACCTTCTCAAGGTCATTTATTTATTTACCACATTTGCATAACACCCTTTCATGTTGAAAGACGCTTTACTTGATAAAAATACATATGCATGGGTTAAAATTTTGAAATGGGGTTGGGGGATAAATTAATGCAAACGATTACACCATTGCTGGATGCAATGAAAGTAAAGTCAAGATTATATAATGCTTTTCTTGTCTTTTATCCACAGTGTCTGCAACAGTGCTAGCTTAACATGCTCATCTGCTGAATGCCCAACCAATTCATCTGGTAAGCATTCCCTATATTTCAGTCCATTATGAAAGCATGTATCGTATCATGTAAGGCTTTGGAAGGTCAGGGGTTCAAGATCAATGCTCGTCACATTGCTTGTGTCCTTGGGCAAGATACTTTATCTGTATTTGCTTCGATGTTTTCACCCAGGAGTATAAATGGGTGCCAGGTAGGAGGTGAATGATTCAGAATGAAGTTAGTAGTGCTGATTACACAACTAGGAATACTCGCAGGGGAGCGAAGGAAGTTGCACATTGTGTATGATTGATTCTGTACTCAATTACCAGGGCTAAATGCACTGTGAGGCTCCAATAAAGAACGCTATGTGAATGCTATATTAAATGAATTAGATTTTGTTGTATTTATTAACCTTGCCAATGAAGCATTTGACAGCCGTTTAACCACCTTATAATTCTATTGATTGATCAATTGATTGATTAAATGATTAATCCAGTATGTGTAAAATGAGGAATGATTAATACTTGTGTTTATTTAAAGGAGTGTGCCTGGATTATCTTCATCGCTACTTGTATAGCAACACTAGCAACACTGGGATGTGGTATAAGCCAGTGTGCAATGCTACCAATGGTCTATTCCAACCAGTACAAGTGAGTGAAGAATAAGATATAGTCAACTGTTACATTATATTGTCATCATCAACATAAGCATCACCATCATTATCATCCACATTATCATTATTGTCATTTTCATCCTCCGTATCATCATCATCATCACCATCATTATCATCTTCATCATTATCATCCACATTATCATTATTGTCATCTTCATCCTCCATATCATCATCATCATCGTCATCACCATCATCATCATTATCATCAGCATCATCATCATCACCATCAGCAGCATCATCATCTTCATCATCATTATCATCATAATCCACAATCCTCTTCTGTTGTCTCTGCTTCTTGCCTTTTATGAAAAAGAGAAAATTTTGATAAATATAAGAATTCACCTCTTCTTCTCCACCAAAAGTCATTCGTGTTACTTTTTAATAATTTGATAAAAAATTACATTTCAGTGCTTTAACAAGACGAAGATGTGTTTCTGTGTTGATCCAGTTGGACGATTCCTGCCTAGCACTCTTGTTTTTAACAAGACTCCTAACTGCTCTGCATACATCTGTAAGTTTCTCCTCCATTCTTGCTTTTCAACTCATTAATATATTTAGTTATAAAGTCTGGTATATCAATTAGGTCTAGCTAAGTAACTTTATTTTTTTTTCTTTTTTATTTATATGTAATGGTATTTTATTCAGAGTTCATAAAAACATAAAACATGGCAGCCAAATGCTAAATTACAAAATACGTTTAAGAGGATTAACTAACAATATAAATATATGTACAAAACAATAACTACCTATGTATATTTCAGTGTCAATATAAGTTCACAGCACAAAAATATAGATACAGTGTTATGAAGTTACATCAGTTGTTAAGAGGTTACTCAGCCTGTAACAACAGATTGTGTAGCATTGCTTAGTATTGATTGGGTGGCATGTGGTGTTGTGAAGTTACTGATTGGCTGTGTCTAAAAATGTATTACACATTTGAACTAATGAAATATTTGTTTTTAGACAATGTAACCAGGCCAAAGCCAACAACAGAAGTTATTGAAGCCCATCAATTTCAACCATCAGATATTAATTGGGGTATGTTATATAAGATTTTGTAATGAAAAAAGCATTAATTCAATCACATTGTACGTAGAGTATGTTTCTATCGTACAGTGTGTTTCTTTCAAGTACCAAGAATTTCTCGCATTAATTCAATCATTGCACATACAGTGTGTTTCTATCAAGTACCATAAATTTCTTGCTATATTTTTCCCTGCTACGATCAGAATGATGTTTGAGGACACCTGATGTAAATATTTCTACTGGGACATTGTATTTCAGATTGTAAATAACAAGCTATATCACTGCATTTTGAATATTCCACATATTAGAATTTTATGCAATTGTTGGCTGGTTATCAAATATTTACGGTTGCAAACCATTGTGTTATTAGAAATTAATTTTTTAACCGTTTTTTTCTCGTATTTCCAGTCAATCGAACTTGCCGCCAGATGCTGATGATCTCGAAATTGAACCCAATGCTTTTAAAGCCGAATTGCCTGCCTGATGGATCATACGGGCCAACTCAGTGTACACAACCAAACTTGTGCTATTGCGTACAAAGGAACGGAACCTACATCAACGGAACACTCACCCACATCTCCAAAGGCCTGCCAATGTGCTTGGTTTACCGTCAAAGTCAGTTTTTCAGTTTATTGTATTGGTTCTTATGAATATTTCATTATCCTTTGTAACTTAACTTTACAGCTAAATTTACACAATTACAAAACAAGATTCACAGTTTTGTAAATAATCACATCATCAACTAACTTGAATTTCTACTGTAATCTTCCTTTCAGCTCTAGAAGTTGCCCTCCCTAAAAGTAAACCAGGTAAGCTTATACTAAATCTATTTTATAAATCCAATACTAAATTAAAAATGTAATTATTGATGAGTCTCTCACTCTAAAGCATGTTTACCATGAATTAATTTTGACCATGCCAAAAGTTTAATTTGGCTAAATTGTTCAAACTCTATGCAAACTCTAAAGAACTTTTTAAAATTTAATCTATCTCTCATTTTCACCATAGAAACACTAGAAATTTCCAAATGCTTGCTGATGGCCAAGATAGCAAGAGAGGCTATGATGCCCCACGTACCAACTTGTGATTCCCGTGGTGCATACACCCCTCTGCAGTGTAATACCATCACTGGGCTGTGCTTCTGCGTTGACATTCAAGGTGCTGCCATTCCAGGCACCACTGCCTTGATAGCAGAGAACATAAGGCCAGATTGTCTGCAGTACAGAACACGTAAGTTGAATGGATAATGTATGTTTATTGCTAATATTTTTTGATTGTTGATTTATCGCTTCTATATATATACATACATACATACATACATAAATAAAAATAATTTAAACTGAAGAGAGATTATGAACATTAAACTTATTTCTTTCATTAACTTCACAGAAGAATGGACTTCAAAGCTAACTCATCAGAGAGAATTCATCACATCTGACGTAATCAATAATAAGAGATTCCCAGAAGGTTAGTAAAGACGGGCACTTGCTGCGTCATAAGACTGTCTCACGACTAATCCAACTCCGCTACCTGTGAGCATGTGACACTCTCTGCTGATTGGTGGGTGGCAGTCTGAATTGATCATCATTAAAAATGATCCATCGCATGCGCGTCATCACTTAGCGTTCTTTATAGAATCGCGTCTGCTGACAACCGTCAGGCGCGGTGAGTGTCCGGCTTAAGGCTTTTCAACTCTCTCTTGGCTCTGCATGTACTTCTGTTTTGAAAATTGCTGCTTCATTGTCTTGGAATCTCAGTTGGCTAAACTTGTGGTATCCACTGTATATGCGCTGAACCTTAGAGCTCCTATGTTGTATGCCCATATATAGTCATGATATGCCTATTTATGGTCATGATGTTATTTCATCATGACAATATTTGTCAAACAAAATTTGATAGTCTCGACAGTGCTTTACATAAGCTTAGTCCTAGGTTCCGTACCATCGTTGTTCTCCTTGTGTTTCGGCTGGAGGGCCGAAATGTATTAGATCCAATTTCTATATCGTTTAACAAAACATGAAAGAACGCTGTAGTAGGCGTATTGCTCAGGTAATAAGTCTCCAGACATTCTTAAGCATGATTTTTAATCATTTGTTTTTAGAAATGCCACCTTGTGAAAGACAGAGAGATATTGCTCGAGATTTGAAGACGGTGTTCATGCCAACATGTGAATCCAATGGCACGTACTCTCCGCTCCAGTGCCCATCGAACACCGACGTGTGCTTCTGCGTTGACAGAACCGGCACAGTTATCGCTAACACAACCACCAGTCTTAGAATGTCACCAGAAATGTGTGAAATGTATAGAAATGGTATGAGATTTCGACGTAACACATGACCTTAAACTATGTTTGTTTATATATTTACTGTATTTTATTTACCTAAGGTAAATAATTTTTTTGTAAATAATTAATTCAAAGATGTGAGGGGATAATTGTTAAATTAGTAGATATTATAATGTTGGAACTCTTCTTTAATATGCTGAGATCAGTAATACTCCAGTAGAAATTCTTAAAAGTGCCCTTAGAATATACAAACCTATCAAAATTGAAAATTGAAAATTGAATAAGATATAAATATCTCATAATAAACATTAAAAGATATTATACTGAGGTATTACAGTAAGTATATTGAGTAAATAAATTATATATATGGAGAAATCCTGAAAATTTCATCATTGTTTACATTCATTTAGTATTAATTATGTTCTTTGTTTTTTTGAATTTTTAGTGTCATTGTCTCCAGTAAGAAATTTGAATACCACGGTATTTAGTACCTTCCCGTATTTCTGTGATGAAGACTGCCCGAAGGTCGGTCCACAGTTCAACATCAGCTTCTCCAATGAAACTTCTCTTAATGTCACCAGAAATTATTGTAAGTCATATCTTGATTACTATAGTTTGACTTATTCCATTTTCCATGAAGTTGCTACACTCTGTCGCTGACCGGTTTCGATGATGCTGATTGGTTAGTCGAATCTGGGAGCCTCCCTAATGCGTCGGCGACTGCGCTAGTTCAATGACTGCAGTAAAAGACTAGCAATAGTGTAGCGATTTAATTAAAACAGGCTTTATGTGAAGTTGCTTTTAAAAGTTGCTTTTAAAAGCTCTTTTTTTTCTTAAGTTAGGGACAGGTCAGTTCAGGTGGTTCAAAGGTCACCCACTTATTGTTTGGGCTGTTAGCTTATGGTGTCCCTCTGGGCAACAACATGGCTCTTTGAATTGTGTATATATTGTGCTAAATGTTTATTATATAAATAAATATTAAATACAGGGCTGAGATCAACCTTGAAAAGTGACTTATGACTAATGAACTTTGTGCTTCATTTTGGCCAAAAATAGTATTTTTGCACAAAAAAAAAATCTGACCCAATATTTTCAATATTTAGAGGGGGTTGGGCAACAGGAATTCCGTTTCACAATTTACAGTATATTTTATCTCTTTTCAGCATCTTGTTTCCGCCAGTTGGTAACCGCCAGCCTTGTACCAGGTGTATTCCGTCCAACTTGCCTGAAGAATGGATCATTCTCCCCACTTCAGTGCCAGCCTCAGTCCGGAATATGCTACTGTGTCGACACAAATGGCGTAACCATCCAAGGAACCGAGAGGAAAGTGTCACAAAATGGTCTTCCTAATTGCACTATGTACTGGAATAGTAAGTTTAAAATAAAGCATTATTGGCAGTGCCCAATATTCTTTGGAGAGGATTGCAAGTACCCAATGGGTGGTGGGGGGAGGGGGTTGATGCTCACCTCTGCCCCACTATGGTTTGTGCTGAAGCGATCAAATTTTACGAGTAAGAATATCTAGGCACTCCCAGGCACTCAAATTAGTGTTCCCCAACAAAGTGATTGACTGTTTCCCAGACTGGAGTTTCCCCCCTCCCCCCTCCGACTTGTACCCCTTTGGCCTACCTCTGTGGCCTGTTGGTGCCACCACTGAAGTATTTAGAAGCTTGATTGGTTTATTTATTTGATTAGTAGTGCAATGTGTATGATGAAGATGTAGTACTGTATTGTAAATTTAATACCTGTTTGCTTCAAGCTGTGTGTGTACAGTGTTTTTTTGCACCCATATTTGTTTTCATTAATCATTAATTGTTGACCACTGCTGAGTAAAGGTCTCCCCAAAATGAACCAATAACTAGTTGATCTACCTACAAACTTAACGTTTTTTGTATTATTTTTAAGCTACTTTGAAGGTCTCAACAAACTACACAACCCTACTTGTCAAAGAGATGCAGCCAATGAACGAAATGGACATTGAGACGGAGAACATCACCACGTTGTTCAACCTCACCAGCCTGTTCAACAGCTCCATCCCCTTCAACATGTCACTATGGAATGCCACACTCTTCAACATCACAGGCTTCAATCTAACAAGCACTTATATAAGTAAACTGGCCTGGCGTAAGTTGACTGATTTATAAATTTTTTGATTTATTGATTCATTAATGCTCAAAGAATTATTTAATAAATCATGGTTGATTAATTGATTGATTGATTGCTGATGATTGAGTGATTTTGGAGTGATTGATTAATTGATTAAGGCATATGAATGATCAAATCTAAATTACATCTGATAGTTCAGTGTCCTAATTGATCACAGCTTAAACATCCCAGTCTCAAGAAACTTTGAATAAAAACATTTAGGGCTCGATCAGCTGAGGGGCGCTAAGTTGCAAAATAAGATGATTTTAGGTGATTTTTAACTACTTGCAAGTGACTTTTGAGGGGATGAGCGAGTGGGGGGGGGGGAGTAATTTTTGGAGGGGTGTGCACTTCCCCCGCGCACCCCCATAAATACGTCACTGCTTCACAATCTCTTAATGGATCTTGATTAAGTGTCCCCAGTGAATAACTCTCCACTTCCTAGGCTCAAAAAACTTTGTACAAACATGTTGATTTGAGTGCTCCAAATGGTCACTTTAAGCTTCTCATCCACAAAAAACTTTGTATAAGATAACTGATGTACCAGATGATCAACTCTAGACTTCCCAGACTCGAGAGGCACTTGGTATGGGTTCCAAATTAATAGCTCCTCCTCATGCCTGTATGACTTGGTGAAAGAGCATTAATAGTCTGCTCTCAAATCCTTATCTCCTAGAATAACAAAATATAATAATATGTTTCTTACTTGCCAGTTGTGAAGGGCGACTGCTTTGCCTATCAGAGGTTTGCCAACGGAATCCCAGGCATGTTTGTGCCAACCTGCAATCCTGACAACACCTACTCTGCTCTTCAGTGCAGTAGAGACACAGGAATCTGTTACTGCTCCCTGAAAAATGGTAAAGCCATCTTCACAACAGTCACTCCAATTATAGAGGGCACACCGTCTTGCTGGCAGTATGCAACAGGTATGCAAGATTTCTTTTACCATTCTGCTTTTTAGTGCATCACAAAATTTTGGGATGAAAGCATGATTTATAGTAGTCCTATGCTTCTTTTTCACATCTTACTTCCCTGATTAATCCTTGTTAAACTGTTCATAGGACATCAACTATAAGTTTTCACCTTTAGTTATAATAATAATACACATGGGCAGTTCCTTCCAACTCTGGCAATCTGTATCCAGCACTCAGCACCTTTTTTCCACAATCTCTCCCACATTTGTTCTTGGGTGTTCACATCATTAGGTGGTACAGGGGCAGATCCAGAGATGTCCAAAAGATAGCCGGAAGGGGGCAGATCGAGATAACAATACCCTACCATGTCCCTGCAAAGTTTCTGTGTTCTAGATACCCGAAAATAACCTCTTAGGACTTTTGCGTGATATTTTTTTTTTTCTTTCTTTTTTTTTCTCCCCTGTGGTATAGAATTTTTACTTGGCTGCTTTGCCATTAGAGCTTATTGGCTTTTGGTTTATTTTTTCAGAATCATGTAACAGATATATTTAATTCTAGTGGCTATCTTGATCAATGTATTTGTCACTCTATCTTTCAGTAAATGTCACCAACATGACCCTGGAAGGTTTGGCAAAGGCAAAGAGGGCAATTGCTAACTGGACCACAACATTGAACACAAGTAGCTCTATTGAAATCAAACCAAAATCATGTAAGTTGAATAAGAAACTTACTTTAATTTTTTACTATAGCAATTTCGTAATTACAACAATAAATAATATATTCATAAATTTGTTTATTATCTTAAGCCTGGTTTTCTTGAAATCGCTACAGTGTTTTCGCTGCAGTTGTTGTAATGACGCAATCAGAAACGTTCCGCATATGGCATGCCTAAATATGGTCATGATGACATCACATCATGACCATAAATAGGCATACAACAGTTTTTTTATTAAAGAAAATTTGATGATCTGGATTTATATGTTTGATTTTAGATGATCCTTTGCACTGTGCTAAAGTTGGATCCTTCGTTGTGTACTGTTACTGCACACGACCAAGTGGTCTTGAAATTGAGGGAACACGTCGATACTTCAGTACCCCAGACTGTAGCAGTTATCCAGGTACTAATACAATTTTTTTTTACTTTTATCTTCTTTTTCTGCTTGCTTCCCCTTTTGTAATTCCAACACTAGTTTTTGATTGTCAACAGTAAGAACTGTGATCCCTTCGATTTGGGATGTACTAATGAATTTTGGTTTATTCACTTTTATTAAACAGTAGAAGGCAGTATATCACTTTTGGTTAAAACTGGTGGTAACCACTGTGTGTGTGCTGAACTGTCTTAAAGTCCCTGACTCAAGTCAAAGGTCAAGGTCAAAATGCACCATCTTTCAGAGAGACAATTTAGGCATTGGTCTTGTGTAAAACATGGTTCATGTGAACCATTTGAGAAATAATTAGCAACCGTCTATTGGTCAATTTTTTTTATGCCAAAGTAACACTCAGGAGCAACTTAAGTAATTGCATATTGCTAAAAAAAACTTTTTGCAGATATGTGTGAAGCCCGTGGTAATTTCTACAATCCAGGAGATAAAGTAATCAAGAAACTAACAGTCACTGGTTGCCAAGCATGGTAAGAAATTCTACTTTGTGAATATATATAGGCCTAGCAATATCATAATTTATCACATAGATTTTATTTATAGAAATTAAGTCACATTATGGTAAATGAAAAAAAAAATTGAAGTTAAGTTCAAACTGTTTTCTTCATTTTTAGCATCTGCTCAGCTGGAAGTTGGTCTTGCGAATACACAATGAATTGCGATGAAGACACACCGGAACCCACTCCAATGCTATCCTCCACAGAATCCATAATAGGAATGCCGGATACCACGACGGCCCCCGCCAAGAGGCCCACTACCACACTAAAGCCCCACGAGTGTGAGCATGAAGGTACCGTGTACAAAAGCGGACAGGCCCACTCATGGGATTGTAGAACATGGTAAATATCTGTTGTTTTTATATCTTTTTGCAGCTTGGCGAGTTTGATTTGAGTAGGCTTGACATAGGGTCTACTGATAAAGGATATAACGTAAGAGAATAACCCAAACATCGCTGCTTTATACAGCGTGCTGAATTATGTACGGGCGTAGAGAGGCGCTTAGCTACATGAAGTTTGCATAACTCCCTACCTTTTTTAAATGTTATGGGGAATTTTTAATTGGCAGGCAAGCTGCATGCGTACACTGGACCTTTAACTCCTGATCCTAGAAGACAAATGTACCCTATGCAAGGAAAGTTTTGAACCAGTACTGGTATTAAGTCTAGAGTCAACCAACAGTTCCCTTGCCTCTCTGCTCTTCCACTCAACTCGTTGGTGGAGTGGATATACTGTTGATGGGTTCAGGTACCTGTGAGGGGGTTACTGTGGGGTGGGGTACTATGATGGAGTAGGATAATATTCGAGGCACAGTATACAATTACATTTGTATGAGAGTGTGAATAAATTGTAGTGACTTAACGCCGTAGCTTATCTTGGATAACAATTTATTGAATTCAGCTTTTACTGATTGTGCTGAATTATTGTAAATATCAATCAATCAATGGATTGATAAGGCGCATTAAATACAGCTGTCTCTATGCGCTATAAGATTAGCAAAAACTGAGATGAATTAAACAACATCAAAATTTAAAATGTGCTTTGGACAGCTACAAGTACTATATAATATTGTAGATGTACCCTTCAGGCAAATTGCATAATTGTAGTTATTATAATTTGACCTTTGACATGTTTTCAATTACAGTATGTGCGTCAGCTACAGATGGGTGTGCTCAACCAGAAATTGTGAAACATCAACTATTGCACCAACCAACATACCATTTTCATCAACCATTGGTTACAGAGACTGTACCATCGGTGATGAGGTTTTCCCTCACCTCTCAACATTCAATCTTGGTTGCACTGAATGGTAATATATTAAACATAGATATTTGTTTTTATTTGCTTAACATTGGTTTCCATACAATTGCTACACTGTCGCTACAGAGTTTTCAGTGCAAACGTACTGCGTAGCAATCCCTGATGGAATCAGGAAGGCTCCCCGATGCGACCGATTCATCAGCATCGTCGAAAGCTGTCGGGGATACCGTGGAGCAATTGTATGGAAACCAATCTAAACTTACACATTCCAGTATAATATAATCGTTGCAGCTTTAAAGCTGGGTAAAATTATTATATAAAACAAGTCAATAAAAATATAAGTATGACCACCAAACCTGTAGTGGAGCTATATAGTTTGGTGTTAAGATGCCTACCTTCCAATTCTAAATCCTTTTCCTGTCAAAAACTAGGATTTTGAGCACAATTGCTCATCTAGGTGTCAATGATAGGCCCAAGATGCACTCCCACTAGACCTGAAAATAATCTTGGCGGCAATAAACATTCAGAGCTGAAGACGATAGCAGTAAAGACGAAGAATATATGATGATTATTGTGTTGATTTTATACATTAATCCACTAATATTATATTAAATGAAATTAATCATTATTTTTTGTTTTGTTTTGCAGTACGTGTAATGATGGTGAAGCCACTTGCTCCTCAGCAAATTGTCAATAAAATGTAAATGATTCTGTATGGTAAGTTGTGAAATATTCAACAAATAATTCAATTTTATATTAATATTGTGTGCATTTCATATTTGTTATTTTTTTATTAAAATTTGGTTGACATTTTTGTACGTACTTTGGTGTTACTAACCTAATTTTATGTGGTTTTCTCTACTAAACAAATCTCAGTTCGCACTGTTAAATTTTATGTGACAATTCCAGAGGTACCTAGTCTTCCACAACTCACAGGAGTCTCCTCGAAGTTGGGATGGTCACCGGCACTCCCGCAAGCAAGCAGGAATCTCCCGGGAAATAACACATCTCCCTAAATTTTTCAAAATTATATTACAAACATGGAGAAAAAAAAAAGAAAATTATATTCAAATTAAAATCTGAGAATCCCATTCCCAGCGATCTACAGGTGCCATAATCATAAATTTTCTTACCTCACACCCGACCATGGTGGGGCTGAGGTGGTCTAGAGTGGAAGTCACTCCCTGGGGCGACTGTATTTCAAACTTCTGGATCTGCCACTGCAGATCTCCTGGAATTGACTTTCGGATCCCTGAAAATCCCTGAGATATGTCCCCATACAGTGTGCGACATGACATAAGCATGGCCATATATGGACATAATCACACAAATTCGTCACAAAAGAAAAACTTGATAGTTAGACTTTTGTGTATGTTTTTCCTTCATCCTGTTACAATAACCCAAATTCACACTAAAAGTTATTTTATCTGTTTGTTGAACTTCACAGAAAGAAGAATTTGTTTGAAAATAATATCTACTTCCAAGCGACTGCTGACCCCTAATTCACAACGTAGCTGTTAACATTTTGCAAGTTTCGTTTTCAAGCTTAACTCACCTTTGCGATATGAACGAGAATTGTAGAAAAATATTAGTTGTATGGATTAGAACTTTACTATAGAATTGTCAAAGTTTTTATGTTCCACTGTTTTTTTAAAATGTTTATCATTAAATTGTTTCATTTGCTAATAAATGTTACTTTGAATGTTGTATTATACTTTGAAGATAATAAACAAAATGCATACATACTAATCGTTTCTTCTGTTTAATCTTGTTACAATCCCATTAATAATGTTGAATTGTTTTAACACTTTGCCTTCCACACATAATGGTTCAACACTGTCTTCACTTTCCTTCTAAAGTCCTGCCCAGATGATCAAATTTTATATGACAAAAAACTGTTTTGTGCCCATATAGTCATGATGTGCCTATATATGGTCATGGTGTGATGTCATCATGACCATATTTAGGCATGTCACATGTTTTTGTCAAATAAAATTTGATCGTCTGGACAGGGGTTTGTGCTCATCAAAATCTACTACGCAACAAAATCAGTTTGAAGAAACAACATTGTTTATTTGAAGAATTAAAAAATTGTTGGATCAGCAGTTGTGGATTGGTTCTTTGAATACAAGAATGAGACAGTAATCAGTCTTTTGGTTCGGTATGAAATGCACAACTTCGAAATTTATTTTTCAAAAAACATAAAAGTTGATTTCTCTCATTGACACAAACCCTTAATCGAAGTTGGAGCACACTCAAATAGGACACTCAGGCAACACTTAGGTTTATTATAGTCATCCAACATTGATGACATCATACATGTGGGGATAGGTTAGTTGTAGGCTGCTGCAGTTGCTTTACTATAAGAAATAGAATTAGAGTATGGGGCACCAATTAAATTTGGTAAAGCGCACAATAAGTGCAATAAAAAGAATAATATTTAACAGAATTTACTGAGTAACCCAATTAACGCCTGGAACCCAGGCTATACCATTGCATTGTCGGATAGATAGGGAAATGAATCTGAGATCTATGCATCCGATGGTGGAGATTTTAAACCAAGATGGAATTGAGGAAGTGTTGAAGAGGAAGCATGCAAAGAGCAGCCAACATTACAGTATTGCCCTGCTTGAGCAACATTGTTAGTAACACATTCTCCCAAATATTACATATAAACAACACTTCAAACGACCATTAACATTTTGTAGTAAAGCTTACAATACCCTACAGTACATGGATTAACTAAGATGCACCCAAAAATTACAAGCCAAACATCACTGATAATAAAAAACACAAGCTAGGCTTACCCTACTCAAACAAAAATAAAGAATTCATCATATTTTAGTATTTACTTAACTAAATTTTGCTCTGGTAGAAATCCTAATATTGGCAGATCAGGTTTGAATGGGATGGCAAAATTTAAGACTCTAATAAACCTATATTGTCTGGAAACTTTTGACAGTTATTTTAACATCATATCAGATTATTATCTGTCAAATTCAAATGATAATATTTGATGAGACTTTTATTAAATCTAAAAGCGAGTCCGCACACTCAAGTTTGGGTGTAGCATGACATTATTATGCCCATATATAGGGGCATATCACACAAATCTGTCACATAAAATTTGAAAGTGTAAACAAGGCTTTAATAATAATAGTGCTCCAAGTGACGTGGAAAGACAATTAATTTGATCAAATATCTAATGCTCTGTCCACACTATCAAATCTTTGAAAAAAAAACTGTTGTATGCCCATATATAGTTATGATGTGCCTATATATGGTCATGCCATGATGTCATCATGACCATACAGTATGTAGGCATGTTAAATCTGATCAAACATAGTTGAATTATGACAAAATATCTGATAGCATACCAGCTTTCTTTAATTCCCTGAGTAATGTTTTTGATTTGATTTATGCATTTATTTCAAGATACAAATTTTATTAATGAAGTACACTAGATGAATATGTCAGTAAATCATCAAGAGTATTGCATACATACATACATACATTTACGGGGGGTTTCACGTCCCCGAAGGGGGTTGGGGGAGGGGATTTCCCCATCCCAAAAAGTGGGCGTGGTTGGGCCTCGCTCAAAATCCTGTCTCTTAGGTTGGGGGGGGGGGGAAATGAAAAATATGACAGTTTAGGTGTTTCAAAGGCTTATTTAATCAATTTTAGAGTCTACTAATTTGTAGAAAATACATATAAATTTTATTTCTTCCCAATGAATTGTGGTTTTTCTCCCCGATGGGGGCCCTGACTACCAGGCCCCCTGCTGGCGCCACCCCTGATTACATTATTAGCAAGAAAGCATTGTATAATAACGTTTCCAGTGAAACTGCATAAGGATGGCTACATCGAAGCGCATAACATACATATTTTTATATTTAATACTTTCGTATATACTTTTTTTTTGGTTTATACTTATTGTTTATTACTGTTGCTAATATCATATTTTGATTTCTTGGTTATTATTATTATTATTATTTTATAGGTTCAAGGATATATGTCACAAGACTTTCAAGTTACAATAAAATATAGTTTGTATTCATAGCGCTAATTTTTTTTTTCTAAGTTGCAAATCACATACATTGAGATAAACGAAAATATGAGATTCTCAAAAAAAACAAATTCTTTCTATATATAAATACAATAACAAGATGGGTTAAGATTTATTATTCACATAACAACATTCAAATGTACCGTAGACAGTTGTTTGGGTGACATTAAAAACATGACATAGGATTAATTATTATTATGAATCACAAAAAAAAAAAACATGTCATTCTATATGAATAGATTTTATCTGCCTGCATCTGACTATAGATTATAATAATGTAAAAGCCACAATAAAAACCAATAACAAAATCTCATTAATTCCCATAGCTCTCCTTTACAAGGATGTGAGTTATCTCCTAGTGACCAAATGTCAAAGGTTACAGAAGGCAATTATCAGCATAAACGTTAACCCACCTATTTTTTGAATGCATTATTTGTTCATATTTTTTTGGTTTTGGTTAAAAGCAGGAAATCACGTGATCTAGCTTATGATATTGTAAGGCACAAAACCATATGCAATAGGCATTATTTTAGACAAGGCCAGAACACTAATATTATTATTGTAATTGTCATAAAATAATACCCTTGGAAACCAAGTAGAGTAAACCCAGTAGCAGATACAAGGGGGTGCAGCTGGCCTGCTCCCCCCCCCCCACCACGAAATTTGCAAGAAAGAAAATTATATTCAAATTATAAGTCTGAGAGTGCCATTTCCGGCCACCTAGAGGTGGCATAATTTTTTTTTCTTACCTCAGCCCCACCATTGGTCGTGGTATAAACCCTTCATCAGTGAAAATCACACCCCGGCGCTCCCCCCACCCCCTTCTATTTCCAATTCATGGATCCGCCACTGAAAACTGCTATTAAGGGGACACCTAGTTCGTTACCAAAGAAATGTCTCCTTAATATGCGTGACCCCTGAATAATGGTTGGCCATAGTGTGAAAAAATATAATTTCCTTCCTCTTTTGGTCAAGAAAGGGGCCTCAGGTGTCCTCATAATAGGGGTGTCTCAAAGGAGGGGTTTTAATGTACGGTATACAGTATCACTGAATATATCAGTGCATTGTTTAAATCATTTTTATTTAATTTCGGGTCCAGTGTAAAATTTAATTCACTGCATTTATTCAGGCAACAATTTTTTCAGTGTTTTACAGGTACAGTGTTAAGAGGTACATCTGTTTATGTGTTTTTCAATCAGGTGTATTATAATAAGGCAATCAGAATTTTGAAAATTATATTTGCAAGAAACTAAATTAAGACAATTAAGACTTAAGTTCTCCGCACTAAACTTGTTTAATGTGTATACCCTACATATTCTTAATGTTGAATCTCCCCACCAGAAGGAGAAGGCAGTGATTTAGTAGTTACGGCACCTACCTTCTAATCCCAAGGTCCTGTGTTCAATGCTGTCAGGATTTTCCTACCACTAATGGTCGTACACAATTATCAACATTTTCAAAAGTGTATAAACAGTACTCTTTTTCAGTACCCCCTCCCTCCCCTCTGAGAGTGTACATAAAAAATGTTGATTTTGCAAAGCCATTCTCCATTTTTTTTATGAAGTCAACTAAATTACTGTACTTGGTTACATCAAAATTTATATTATAGCCATGGATGCATTATAATTGGTTATAAAAATTTATTATTTCAAAATATTGTACAGTATTTTATTTTTGGAATTCACATTTTCATGCCTAAGTCTAAATTCATCTACCCCCTCCCCTTCTAGCGTACTGTTTGTACACTTGTGAAATAGTTGATAATTGTGAGTGACCCCTAAAGAACAAGTCCATTTTTTCAAGCCTTATTGACTAGATGCATTGAGATCCAATATGCATTGAGATCCAATATGCAGACTTCTGAAGTTGATTAAAAATCTGTTTCAATATTACAGTGTTCCTCAAAATTTTAGTAGGTAAATAGAAAAATTCTGTAGTAAAATAAATCATCAGTAATCTCACAAATTCAGGTCGTACAGCCAAAAGTTCACTTTGGACAATACGTAGACTTAATATTATGATGATAATAACAAAAGCTCTGTGTCCATAGAACTTAAGAACTCTGCATTTGATAACATATATTTTGCATGACTACAGCTAGTAGATTAAGCTACCCTCTCTACTTAGTGAACTAAACTAAATTATGGACTAAAATCTATAAAACGCAAAATGCTCTAGTTATTCTACAGCTACGTTCACACACAGCAGCTAACAGTTAGCAGAATGCAGATCGCAAACATATGCGCACGCCTGTGCGTTCATACAAGAAAATTCCCGATCCAGATCCCAAGAAGATGATGGATGGGATCACTGGCCAATAGGAAACTGGAAATTGATAACGCGTATGTGTGATTGGTTAATGATAGAAATACGCTCAACTTGCTAACCAATAGCGTTCGCTAACCATTAGCGTATCCGGATCCTGGTAATGATTATCACTAACTGTTAGTTCCCAATCCGGATGGCTCTCGTGTGAACCTGACCTGAATCGAATGTCTACAATAATTTGGTATCATCAAATAATGTAATTTCTATTTATACGCTGCATAATAATATATGCATATCGCCATAATTCAATTCATACCACATAACAGAAAATACATGTTACTTATCATTATATTCAATACAATGTCTTTTTTGAGGCTTCACATCAAACAATTGTTTTTTAGACTGGCATCTCTCTTTAGCACATCAGCACAGTAATTAAATTCTCCTCACACTAATTTCAGTGGTGGCACCAGTGGGGGGGGGGACGCCAATGGGGAGAAAAGCACAATTTGTCTGGCAGAAAAAAAATTCTATGTAATATTTAAAGACTATAAAATCGTTTAAATAAGCATTCCAAATCCCTAAATTTTTAGTTTTTAGTGACTTCATCCCCTTGGATCCCCTCTGAGGGTCTGGGCTGGCCTGCCCAGTTATGCCCCATCAGGGATATCGGACACCAATCTGAAAAATCCTAGCGCCACCACTGACTAAGTTTATTGCCAGCAAATTACACTGTGCACTTTTTTTTTGCCTATACAAACTAAACTAATGTAACACAAACATGGAATGGTACAACAGAAAATAGTTGATGCTTGACTGTTAGAGAATCTAGTGGTGTGTTGTTACTGCCTGAAAAGTGGTTTCTAGGAATGGTTCATACAAAGTACAACTTCCTGTGACAGAAGAATTATTAAAAAAATGGATTCTTCTGTCGTATGCACAGAATTAATTCCGTGTGCAGCAGGCCAAAATGGATTTCTAATGGTGTAGGATGTATTCCTTATTACCAAGCAAAGAGAACCGTTCTACCTCAATTTTCAGTAGAAACACACCCAAGTTTCGTTCCATTTCCTAAGTTTTACGGTATTCCAAAAAAAATCTATGAAGAACATTGTAGACCATCTTCTGAGTTTAGCACATTACCATGATAAGTCGGAAATAGTCCCTGGAGTATTTGTTACACAAGTTGACACAGTTTCGTTAATATACTGTAGTATTATTGTTACTATTGCTTTTAAAAAAAATATCAGTATCAATATTATTAGTTATTATTATCCGTATTATCAATATTTCCCTATTTTGAATAATCTTAAGATATTTGGTTTGGAATATATTTTGTGTTGCAGGGTTTGTTATACAGTATAGTAGGAGCATGTGAACAGTACCATCAGAATCAGCAGGGTCAAAGCTGTTTCCTTATCTATGATCTTTGGTTACACTATGGAGTAATTACTGGTATAGAGACTATTAATATCTCTATGACTACAGCCGCTACATATGAATCTGGCAAGGGGATCAACTTAATGGCCAACTAAGGACAAGAAAGCAGGTATGGAAAGCAGGTATGGAAAAACAGGCCGTTAAATACAGTCATTAATCAGCTTGCGTAAAACACTGTTCATATATATATATTCATGATGTGTCTATATATGGTCATGATGTGATGTCATCATGACTATATTTAGGCATGCTGCATTTGGAGAAATTGTAAACTTTACATCTTAACTACACTACTAATTACTGATTCTCATCAAAGTTTACATAACTGGAATAATTTGCTGGATTCATAATTAGGTAATTATTGTTGTCAGCTAAGCTCTGCTCTCTATTTACGCAATTCGCTGTCAGCCACAATGTAGCGTTAATTAGGCACTTGTTGACAGTATAAATGTCAAGGAAAGGTTGATGTTAAATCACTACGATCTGCAGATACTTCTGGCTCTAACTATTCAAAGGAAACCTGTTGTAGTTTACAGCAAAAGACTGCAATATCACCAAGGACCTTAATTATCATAAAAATAAACATTTATCTCTCATACTTCTCACCTAAAACAATTGACAATTAAAAAGTAATGCACACATCTGGACATTGCCACGCCCTCTTCATCACATCATCCACAAATGATTGACAGAATTTAAAAAATACGGGCCAGTAAATAGTCATTAACATTAAAAAAAATTTTTTTATCATTTCCAAGAGACATATTCTTTCCTACCCCTTGAATGTGACTGTTGAATGGGTCATTTAAACGTTTCAAATAAATTATTAGCTTCCACCAAGCAACAGATAGGAAAAAAATTGTTTTTATCGATTTTACATACATTTTACTACAAAAATTTGCTGGTAATCAATTTAAGGCTTCTGTAGTAAAATATCTGTAAATTTGTGAAAATAATTTATTTGATTCTAATAAATGAGCTTTTCAATTTTTTTTAATTTTTGAGTTATTTTCCTGTACTTTGACTGACAGTACACCTTCAGGGGTGGATGAAATGGTTGGGGGTTTACATTCCCTGTACCCCCTACTGGAACTGCGCTTGACCTTTAAGTTAACCCTTCTACAAGATGTTTTGAACTCATGAAAATGATAAAAGAAAAAAGATGACAACATGGTTTTATTCTATACTATCATGTGGTAATTTCATAAAACAAACCAGCCATCTTGTATTTTCAACTACTCATGCCAAAAATGAAGGCATGTGAACTATAAACAACTAGATGGCATAATAATGAACCATTTGCCAAGCCCCTCTTGAATTATTGCTAAAGTCCCACAAAAGTACAGTGTAAATGCAGGCAAACATGCGTATTTGTGGGACAAGCTCGTAATCCTAGCCCTGTTCTGATTGGTCACAAGTTTGATTGACACTCCTGAAAGGTCGATTGTTAATCCACAAATGGCTATAATCTTGCACTAATTAAATCGAGTACTTCCAAAATGATTCCCAAACTTTTACCAACAGGAATAACCAATTTCATAAAAAATATCAAGTTAAAAAAAAAAAAAATTTATCTGACAATTACATTCAAAATTTATTTTATCTCTAATCACAGAATCATGGAAAAGGGCCGTCAAAAAAACTGGAATAAGTTCCCATGGAATACTGTCAAAAACTTTATCTAATTATCTTCTTGATCCTCCCAACGATGGTGCTTGACCCCTGGTGCTAGGTGTGTTATTATGACCTCGACTGCTTGGATCTTCACCTTCTTCGGGGGGATGAGGCACTCTTTGTACGTCACATGATCTCCGGCGCATGGTACATATTCCCCTTCAACACTGCAAAGTTAGACAAAAACTTTGTTAGCTTATCAATTGAAAATAAAAACACTGAGAAATTGAGTGGCGTAAGTATGGCCAGTGCAGTGATCTGGAGCTGTTAGAAGCCCATTTAATAATAGACCTAAACATTTTAATTTAAAAACATACCTACTGTACATGATACTTAAAAGAAAAAAATAAATGGCCAGCAAGCCCTTTAATAATATTTAGGTTTAAGAGACGATAATTATGGACTATTGTGTTCATTTCATTGTTTACTTTCCCCAGTATTTAAGATGGTTGATGAAGCCATCTTACTGACAATATTCAAAACTTTATTGGCAATCCGATACCATTGTCATGATGGTGAATAATAGGAACATAACAACTGAAAGGTCCACTGATTAATCTCAGATAAGATAGTATAATACATACTCCAAGTATCAAAATGCACGCTATCGTGTCAGGATTCATTATTTCAACATTAATTATGTCATCATCAGGAACATAACTATAACTGAGTACAGATCACCTCAAAAAAATGGCACTCAACATTGCAATGTAGAGCTAATCATACCAGGAATCTTTACCACTCAATGAAAATAAACATGATGATTACGCAATATTAAGTTACGAAAGCATGGGATTAACACTCTAAAATATGCAGGCTCATCAAAATGATGAGGTAATTATCATGTATTTTAATGTCTGATGAACAATGGCCTTGATTGCATATTTCGATATTCAATTAATAAATCTATTTTTTGGAATATTCCTAAGAAAAAAAACCATTTTCACCTAATAATAATACAGTACTGGGATATGATGTTTACTGAATTTTATTGTTTGATGCATGATTTACTTCAAGGTGCAAAATTTTCCCCCATTTTAAAAATTATATTATTATCATTAGTTGACTTGGACGTATTTAGATAACAGGAAAAAAAAATTTTTTTTTTTTTTTTTTTCTTTTTGGATTGAAACAAAACAAAAGCTTCATATCTGTTCAATGTCAAAATTCTATTACTAGTTTTGGTTTCAAGATATAAAAATAACCTTATTCATTCTTTCATTAATATATGATGTAAGCATCTACTATAAATATAACCATAAATGAAAGGTTTAAATAGTTTCACCTGGTTTCAAATATACAAGTTACATAAAGAAAATTCATCAAAATATAATGTTTTTAATGACATAATATCCTCTATGAAACTCGTATTAATGAAGTTGATAATTTAGTATCATATGATTCATTGCAATTTTGCAATTACCTTGGGGAAATTATGTCTAAATGAGAAAATCAAAGGATTTTACCCACTTAGACTCACAGTCACAGTTGGTAAAGCATTCTAATGTTAATCCAAATGTCTTGGGTTTGAATCCAAATTTAGACAACACATTTTTCCTTCTTTATTTACCAATACTAGATATAGGTATTTTTTCATAACATATCTTGTGATTTATCATATAAATGAACTGTTAAATAAATTTAGTTGAAAAGTAATGTGTTGGGTACTTACTCAGACACGTGGACAAACAAGGTTTCAGAATCTTTCTCATTGGGCACTATGAACCCGTGACCTTTATGTTTGCAGAATTCTTTCACTACCCCTGTTTTGATTGGATTATTGGCTGCTGCCTTTGACCTGAAATTCAGAAACAATTAGGTTTACCGCTACTGGAGTGTCTTTCGCTTATGAATGATGTGTTTTGTTGTTGCTTTTGAGCGGAGGTGCCTAAGCTGTCGGCCTTTGTTTATTCTTTAATGATTCAGTAGATTTACAGACGTGTTCTTTAATTACAGCATGACTTGTAGATTGGAGTAGAATCCAGTACAAATTACAAATGATTTATACTGTAGTACAACCAGTGGTGCTTGTATAGTTGCAAAAATGTTACTGTGTGTTTCTACATAGTAATTGTACTATAAATTGGCATGCCATGAATTGGTAAAGTCATCATAATTTTCTTAGCATAACACATACTTTTGTGTGGGAGGGTGTGTGATGGGTACAGTTTTGTGTGTAATTAGTACTGTGATTTGCATGTAGGTGGATGGGTGCATTTCTGAATGTCATGAATAATGTGATTTGAATGCAGGTGGGTAGGTGCATTTCTGAATGTCATTAATAGTGTCATTATTAGCCTGCAGCTAGGTGGGTGAAATTCTCATTTAATTACTTAAGAGGGCCCCTAAATATCTGCTGACCTTCTGGCATAAGCTGGAAGGGTCTATTAAGTTTTTACAAAATAAGTAACCATGCTGGTGGGTGGGCACCATTCTGAATGTCAAAGGAGAGAGCAACCAGTCAGCTAATCTGGTGGTAGCCACTGTGTGTGCGCTGAACTGTGGAGATCTCTAGGTCCCTGGTTCAATTCCTATTGCTGTCTCTCCTTGTGTTTCAGCTGGAAGGCTGAAATACAAGTTACAACAGCGCACCGTCTTTCGGATGAGACGATTAAACCGTTGGTGCCATGTGCATTTATGGCCCATGTGCACATTAAAAGAACGCAGTACACGCTTCGGTAAAGAGTAGGGGATTGTCTCCCGGTGTACTGCCC